TATGTGCATACATAAACATGGACTCTTTTATATATATATATATATACAAACACACATAACTATTTATCTGTCAGATTCATTTATATGCAATATAAATGTAGTACACACTTATGCATATTATAGATAACTAAATCTGCCTTGATAGAAATGCAGTCAGAATACTCCTTAGAAGCAAATGATCACTGTTTTTTTCTACAAAATGCTATTAGAAAGAGTTATTATCTGGAGAAGGACATTATCTTTAATAAAGTATAAGTTCATCAAGAGAGATGAAAATCCTCAATGAAGTGGATTGACACAGTGGGTGCAACAATGGTCTTAGCACTTCAGACATTGTAAGGATGGTAAATAATCAGGTACATATTTGTGAATGTAATATTGAAAATCCAACGCCATTGAGTCAATTCTGACTCATAGTAGCCCTCTTGTGGGTTTCCTAGGCTGAAAATCTTTATGGGAGAGGTCTTCCATTGTCTTCTGTAGAGTCTATTTGGTGATCTTTTAATTGCTACATGGCATGTAACACTCTATGCCACCAAGGCTCCTACATACACACACACATTATATATAACAACTATATATATGTAACACTCTATGCCACCAAGGCTCCTACATACACACACACATTATATATAACAACTATATATAACTATATGTAACAACTATATGTAATAATATATAACTAAACTAAACCTAACTATAACAATATCTAACTATATCTAACTCTATCTATTTCTATCTCTATCATCTATCTCTATATCTCTATCATCTATCTATCTATCTATCTATCTATCTATCATCTATCATTTTTCTGTCTTTCTATCTAGTTGTTATTATTTGTTGTTATGTGCTGTGGAACTGCCTGCAACTCATAGTGACCCTTGTACGACAGTTCTGAAGACTATCCTTTCCTAAGCCAATCTCACTGACTCTGACACACCTGCTCTCACTGCCCTAGTTATACTGTATCAATCCATCTCATCCAGGATATTCCTCTCCCACACCGTCCCTCCACCTTTCCAAGTATTATGTCTTTCTCCAAGGACCTGTCCTTCCTGGCGACATGCACAATGCATGTGAGATGACGATTCAGAAATCCTAGCCTCCAAGAAGAAACTTGGTTTTACCCTTCTCCAAGATAGGCCTATTTGTTTTCTTGGTGGCCCATGGTATATTCAAGACTCTTCTCTAGGACCACAACTCAAAAACATCGATTCTTTTTCTGTCATCCTTAGTTGTTGTCCAGCTCTCTGATGCATGGCAAGTAATTGTGAAGATCACAGCCTAGATCAGGCACACCTTAATCTCTAGATTGACATCATTGCTTCTCAATACTCTGGAGAGGTCCCTGATGGTAGATTTTCCCCGTGCAATTCATCTTTTGATTTTCTGACTGCTGGTACCAAGGTGTTGATTGTGGACCCAAGCAAGCTCCAATTGTTAACAATCTCAGTCTCTTCTCTATCTATCATGGTGCCCAGTGGTAAGAATCTTTGTTTTCTTGATTCTGAGCTTCAATCCATATTGAAGATTACAGTCCTTGGTCTTTTGCAGCAAGCGCTTCAGGTCTTTTTCAATTTCAGCAAGCAAGGGTACGTTATGTGCATAACATAGGTTGTTGATAAGTCTTCCACCAATCCTGATAAAATATCCCTCCTCATAAAGCCCAGCCTCCTGAATTATTTGTTATGCATATAGATTGAAAAGGTATGAAGACAGGATGCATACCAGATGCAATTCTTTCCTGATTTTCAAACAAGGATTCTGAAGCTTCATCTGACATATTTTGGACATGTTACAATAAAAGGCCGGTCCTTGGAGAGGACATCATGCCTGGGAGGGTAGAGGAAAAGCACAGGAGAGGAAGACCCTCAATGAAATGGATTTATTAAATCATTAGGGCAGTGGGGGATGGGGATAGGAGTGTCAGAGACAGTAAGTTCGGCCCAGGATAAAGCAGGCTTTAGGGCTCTTGTACCTAGGATCTCTCTGAGTCACAAGCAACTCAACAGCACATTACAAAAAGTAACAACAGTATTTCCTTTATACATGCACACACACTAACAGAGACTATCTCTCTCTATCTGTATATCATATCTATGATGTATTATCTAGTAATCTATTATCTATTAATCTACCTATCTATCTATCAGCAAGAAGTTGCACAGCAATCCCGAAAACACGTGGTTCGAGGCCACTAGATTCTCTGTGGAGGAAGAATGAGCTGTCATCTCCTGTGCAGTTAATTACCAGCAAAAACACACTGAAGCATCAGCTATGGGTTGATTCTGACTCCACAGTACACAGCAACAACAATATTTTATATATATATAAAATTCAACAGTATACATCATTATATATAATATAGATAATATAATTATATATAATGTACAATATCAATAACATATACAATACATATACTCTATATAGTAAGTATGTATATGTGTGTGTGTGTGTATACATACAAAAAAGAAAATATTATACATATTTATTTCTGTATCGTGCATAATAATATATACACCATAGCACTCTGGTGGCCTACTGGTAAAATCTTATACTACACTCCCAAAGGCACAAGATTCAAATCTGTAAGCTGCTTGATGGGAAAAGGATGGACAATCTTATCCCAGGTGATTTACTGTCTCTGAAAACCTGCTGGAGGGTCAGCTATGAGTAGGTTATGTATTTACGACTTAGAACAACAACAACAATATACTTAGACTAAGATTTACTAAATAGAAGAAAGATATAAATTTGTATATAAATATATAAAATTTAAAAATATAGCAAATTACATTCTTACACTTAGTTAACTTTATAATAGAAATATACATAAGAATTAAATACCATTTTTAGTTGTGTCTAGAGTCATTTTAAGCAATGAAATTTGTCTTGCTATAGTTAAATAACTTTAGAAGCGCTATTCATCTTCATTAGTCTTCACAGAAAAGCTTTTTTATATTCAAACCACTAAAGTGGTAAAGGTGCTTTACATTCATATCTGCTAAAAGCTTAGTTAAATTATGGTTTCCACAGGACTTCAAATTAAATTGTAACCAAGGTACAGTGTGCAAGATCCATTCGTTATTTTTCTGTGCATTAAGAGTAAAGAGCAATTTCCATTATTCTTTAGTTGTCAGCATATTTTATAAGAGAATGTTCAGATGGAGAAATAAGCAATATGTGACATTTTTACCAATAAGTGGGGAAGAAACACTTACTTTTCATAACAAACAGAAGATTCTGCGAAAGAGTGTCTTTATTTTTTTCAATTGCTCCAACATTTTCATACATTACCTGTAATAAAAGAAAATAGCATAATTACTCATGACTAAACATGACTGAAAAGAATTTCCTTTAAAAATTACTTTGACTCATCTGAAGATGTAAATTATTCATAAAATAAACATCTCCAAAGTTTAGAGTTCATATTACACATGAGTTCAATGTTTCTCATAAGCATCTTCTCATTTTATACAGTAAACAAGAGACAACCTTTTTCTTTTAAATTGTGCAGCTGGCCTCTCTCTGACTTGGGAGTGTAAGTGCCAATGACTCAAATTCATGTAGTTCCTTTATCTGAAGAAATCTAATCCTCCCAGGAAACCCCTTAGGATGGTTCTGAGACACCTTAAGCATGAAGTGTTTTTTTGAGGTATAGAAATTCACTTGTCTCTTAAGTAAAATCATTCTATAGGATCACCTATAAAGTTTAACTGAAGTCTTTAAAATAGAGAAAATATATAAAACCATTAATTCCAGATTATACAAAGGAAGATGTTCCTCACTTTACTTGCCAATACATTTAACATGATTTTATTGTCTGGAATTATTGATATTCCAGTAAGTGCTTTAAGACCTGCTCTTTGAAAAGAAAAATGTTTTTATTACTTCTCTCAATCCTAGCTAAATGTGAATTTGCAATGTGGTTATGAGAAGCCATACTGGCTGGCCACACATCCATTATAAAGTTGACCATTTTCAAGAACTACCTCTTGTAGAAACATCTTGGTACAAAGTGTCATGGGCAGGAAATGAGTCATAAGGTGGTTCTTTACTCTGAGGTGGACCAAGTACTGAAATAGGGGAGCTAACCAACAGCACCCCTTCATGGCTCTGGGCCAACAATGGTGTGCTTCTAACTAACAATGGGATAATACTGCTTACTAGAGAATCTAGAGAGAATGTCCTCATTGGCAACAAGAAGGAACTCTCATAGACACTGAGAAAGAGATGTGAGAAAAAAGCCATAGAAATCTGTTGGAGGAACTTCCTAAACGGCTTTCTGGTTGTATGTTTTGCTGTCACAACAACCTAAATAGCAAAAATACAAAGAAAAATAAGGATTTACTTTTATCTTCCTTCCAAGACAATATAATGGTGTCGCTGTCCGTTCGCCGGCAAACCGACAAGGACACCCTGATGGAGGCAAACACGTCAGAGATACACCACTCCGGGAGAAGATCAGAGAGTCAATGCAGCTCAATTTTATTATCCGGGCTTCAGCACACTTATATACAAGCAAGTAAACAGGAAGACAGGATAGGGTGGGCTTGCTGACGTGGGACACGCAGATTGGTTAGGACAACCTCAGCGTGCGGACCACTCCTAGCTCTGCAGATGGCAGTCGGCAGCCGTCTTCTCAGGTGGTGAGCTTTCTCTAGACGGTACAGCGGAACACAGGAGAGCTTTCTCTACCCGATATTAAAGGCCTTTGGGAGGATTGCACTTATCTGGAGCTTAGTCGATCTGCCCTGGCCAGAGGCCCTCTCTTCCTCCCCAACATTCCCCAACATATTGGTTCCCAACTTTCGTTACTATGAATGAGACTTTGTTTGCTTATTTCCTTAAACAAAAAGAAATGAAGGAAGTCATGCTGGAGTTGAGTGGATCTTACTCTTATACCTCTAAATGGTGTCTTATTAAAGGGAAGGACAGACACAGGAACAGGGTCATACACAGAGAACACAGCATGGGAGGACCTGCCTATGAGACTAGGAATAATGAGACAATTGCCAGAGAGGCAAAGAACAAGTTCTCCCTCAGAATCCTCAGAAAGATTTGATACCAACAATATCTCATTAGAAGTCCAAACCTCCATGACGGCAAGAAATTAAATTTCTATTCATTTATTAATATTATTCACTTTGCAATATTTTGTCATGATAGCACTCAGAGGTTAAAGCTGTACCCTAGACAATTCCTAGGGAACTCATACAAGGTTGCATATTTTTCCTGAAATACCTTAGTTGAAATTCCGTAATTACTAAGTCTTATCTTTTTGACAATGTTTTCAATTCTGCTTGGAGTTCTTCCTTTAGTACTATTAGTTCTGGTCATATGCTACTTCTGAAATGGCTCTGTATCAATTATTTTTGATACAGTGAAGCTACATATTCTTTCTGTCTTATTTTGATCCTTCTTTAATCAGTCACTATTTTTTTTTTACTTTCATCAAACATGAAATCAATATGCATTAATGAAAATTAGTGATTGGAATGCGAAAGTTGGAAACAAAGAAGATGGACTGGTACTTGGAAAATACGACCTTGACAACAAATGAAACTGAAAAGTGCATGATAGAATTTTATAGAATAATTTATTAATTGAAAATATCTTTTTTACAAAAATAAAAATGGCAACTATACACATGGACTTCATCTGATTAACAATGCAGGCATCATATTGATTATATCTGTGGAAAGATATTTTAATCATCAGCAGTCAAAACAAGGCCACAGGCTGCTGGTGGAACACACCATCAAGTACTCATGTGGAAGTTCAAACTGAAGCTGAAGAAAAGGAAAACAAATCCATAAGAACCAAAATACAGCCTTGAATGTATCACAATTGAATTTAAAAACCATGTTAAGAATCTATTTAACACATTGAGCATTAATGACTCAAAATTAGATGAATTGTAGGAAGGCATCAAAGACATCATCAATGAAAACAGCAAAAAATCATTACAGAGAAAAGGATTAAGAAAGACAAAAATAAATCTCAGAAGAGACTGAAACGTGTATTAGAATGAAAAGACAAAACAAGGGAAAGGGATGTTGCCATTAGGAGAGGTCAACAGAAGATTTCTAACAGCATTGTGAGCAATCAAAGTGAAGTATTCTAATAAAAGGTACAAGGAATCGGAGTTATAAAACCAAAATTCAAGAATAGGCTAGGAATTTCTTAAGCTGAAAGAACTGAAGAACAAGGTGAAGCCTTCTAAGGCAACATTTGGAAGCTGCCTTTCCTATCTTTAAAAGTAATTAGGTGATGTTATTGGGGAGGGGGGCAGTGTGGATTTAGATATGAACATTATTTCCTTTTTCCTAGATAATTTTCTTTTTCATAAATAAGGGGTTCTGGTGGCCTCATGGGTAAGGAATTGTGTTGCCAATCCAAAGGCAGGTGGTTCAAGGCCACGAGCTATTCCATGGAGAAAGAATCTGCTCTCCTGTAATTGATAGGCCCTGAAAACCCTATGGGAGGTCTGCTATGAATCAGTTCCAATTCATAGGCACATAGCAACAACATATAGATTTAAGAGCTGGAAGCTAATGTTGAGAAAAAGAGGAAAATAGGAAGTCACAATCTAACTCAATGATGTTGTTAGTGCCATGGAGTTGAGCACAACTCATAGCAACTCTATGAACAACTTATCTGAGCACTATACTATCCTATGTCATCTTAAAAATCAAGTCCATTGCTGCAGTTATGATGTCAACCCACCTGGTCAAGGGTCTTAATCTCTTTCAATGTCCTTCCACCTTCACTAGCATGATGCCCCTCTGCAAGGAGTAACCTCTCCTAGTAACAAGTCCAAAGCAAGTGAGACTAAGCTTCATTATCTTTTTATCCAAGGAGCACTCTGGCAGCACCTTCTCCAAAATAAATGTGTTCTTTTGGCAGTCCATGGGATCGGCAGCACTCATCTTCACCATCACAGTTCAAAAGCATCGATTCTTCTTCTGTAAACTCTAGTCATTGTTCAGGTCTCAGATGTATAGCAAGTGACTGAAAAGACCATGGACTGAATCATGTGCACCTTTGTCCTCACACCGACATGATTAATCCTCAATAACATGGAGAGGTCTCTGATTACAGATTTTATCAGTGCAATACATCTCCTGATCTCCTGACTGCTGATACCAAGTGTACTTGTTGTGGGTCCAAGTAACAAATTATAGTCAACACTGAGAAAAATGGGAACTCCAGAGCACTTAATTGTGCTTGTGCAAAACCTATAACTAGACCCAGAGACTGTTGTGCAAATAGAACAAGGAAACACTGCATGGTTTAAAATTAGGAAAGGTGTGCATCAGGGTGGTGTCTTTCTCCATACCTATGTAATCTCTATGTAGAGCAAATTATTCAAGAAGTCAGATTCCATGAAGAAAAAATGTGGCATCAGGATTGGAAAAAGACTCATCAATAACCTTAGTTAAGTTGTTGACACAAGCTTGCTGAAAGTAAGGAAAACCTGAAGCCTCTGCTACAGAAGGTTAAACACTGCAGCCTTCAAAATGCATTGCACCTCAATATCAAGAAAACAGAAATCCTTGCTACTGGACTGAGAGGCAATATCATGTTCAAAGGAAAAAGCATTAAGGCTGTTAATGACTTCATCTCACTCAGATCCACAATCAATCAACTCAATGATAGTTTATGTCAAATCTCTAATACATATTCAACATTGACAGTAAAATTGGATTTTGCCCAATAAAATCACTTAACATTTAGTATATTTACAATCACCTCCTCCTGTGTTATTCTTCTTATATTTTGTGGTCCCCCCCACACACACACAGTTCCTCCTATGGTATTACTCCTACTTTTCTTTGTGCCAAACGTCTTTCCAACTTCTCCAGAAAGTAAATGCCAATTCCATTATTCATGGTTTCTTTCTGGAAGACAGAAAGCAACAGTACAAATTGTATAAGACTGGTATTTCATCAGGCCTTCTGAGTTCAGATTCCATCTTTACCATATCTCATTGCTTGTGCCACCTGAGTAAATTACTTACACCCATTACCCTCTATTTGATGCTAATTCAAGGAGACTTCATGTGCATCAGATTATAAGTCTACAAGACTAGGTATTCAATAGCTGATTTTCCATAAGTAGATTGTCTTTTATCAAGGCACTTCTGGCTACATTTAAACTTCCAACATATCCATTATCAGCCAAGTGAATGAATCATTTCTATCATCCAGGGACTCCTCAAGTTACTTCTAAATCAAATCCACTCCTGTCAAGTTAATTCCAACTCACAGAACTGTCCCTTCAAGTTTCCAAAG